TACAATGCTGTGTATCTTTTAAAGCAGGCGTAGGGCTTTAGTACTACTTCAAAACGAGTAGAAAATATAAAATAGGAAGTTAAATGTTAAACGCTGTTTGAAACATCAGCATGGGAATGCTGTTAAGTTTAGCTTTTTAAAGAGTTGTTTGTTTTGCTGATGTCATTGCTGAGCCTCATTGCACACCATATTGATTCTTCTACATCGGAAATGTTACTGTTCATTTCCATTATCAGGACAAGTGTACAGGAACGTCATATCATCGGATGTAATCTGAACCATTATATTTACAAAGCAAAGCAAAATACAATACAGATGCAGACAATAAAAATCAAGCACTAAAATGACTAGACTAACTAATTGAGATATATATATATATATCATCATATTGGTGGATGATGATTGGGAAAAGCCACTTTCTCTGTGTTTACTCTTGAATCCCATGTTGAAATCTGGAAAATCCAAGAGCACTGAATGCATCTGGTTTCCATATATATTATACATCATACATATACATGTTAGCAGAGCGTAGAAGGAGCTGTTGAGAGCTGTGCTGCAGCCCTGTGTACGATGATGTTGGTGAGAGTTTTTGTCCGTGTTGAGTAACGATGGCAGAGGTGTGAGTGGGAGAAACATGACACAGATTGAAGCGTTACGCTGTTTTTACCTTTCTGTCTATTCAGAACAAAAACAAGTTTTAAAAACAAATATGTGGATTTATATATTGGACAAGAAGGGATGACTTATCTTGTGATTATTCATTAGAACTGTCTGTTGACGTGCCTGGGTTGATCCTCGGTCCTCCTGTGTGCTGATAGGTTTTCTACTCCTGTTTTCTCCCACAGTCCAAAAACATGCAGATTAGGGATCGGATTCATTTGAAATTGAATGTAAAGGGAACACAGGGAGGTGTTGTTTTGGTGATCTATTTCTAAATAATAAAACAAGTCTTTATCTGCGGTCTCTTTGTGTCTCACCCATACAGTAGTTCCACAGAGATGGAAGTCGTCTCCTGGGAACCAGCCTAGGAAATAAGTCATTGGTTTCTCAGTGTGCGTTTGCTCTAATTAATCCAATAATGAGCCACGTTGATGTAGAGTTACATAAAACTGAGGGGACACATCATTCTGTCATCCGGCCTCTGATGAGGGAGTGTGATGACCTGGCAGAGCAGCATGCTGAAGGAAATGGTGTCAACCAATCAACAGGCTCCTCTGGTGATTCTTCAGGTGCTTCTCATCAGATCTGCCCCATTAGTCGGTGGCCTCCATTCTGTAACCTACTTTTGAACAGCCCTTTTTGAGAAGCCCTGCGTTCACACAAGCGCACAAACTAGAACGTGCAAACACACACACACGAGGGAGAGATACATCAAGTGGTGAGCTAAAAAAAAAATGAATGAAAACAAACAAAGCATTAAATGAAAGCAGTGACGTAGTACAGACTAAAGAGAGGTTTTTGTCAGCTTGGGAGTTATTCACAAGTGCTTTTCTCGATTTACTGCGGTTTTGCATAGCAAAGTAGGTGGTTATGGTTGGAGAGGAGAGATCCTGCTTTGTTTATAGAATGCTGTGTAGTTTGCTTACTCGATTACCATTTAATTTACGCACAATTAAATCATCCTCTGTGATTAGCCCATCCCTTAAACAGTAGCGCTGGATGATGCCTTGCTCTGCCCTTAGTGCCCTTGGTCACTGGTCAGTATCTTAGGGCACTGTTTCGGTATGTTTTGTGCTCAACAAGTTTTGCAGAGGAAAAGTTTCAAACGGAAGTTGCAACAACTCTGGCTAACAGGGTAGGGTGACGTGTAAAACATGCAGAGTGAAGTGTTAACAGACTTTCCTTTGCGTTTAACAAAGCGTCTGATACTCTGACAAGGCATGATCATGTACGTGGAGTATATTTTTGGGGAGTTGAAGGAGAGAACTATGTTAAAGCCTGCACTTTTGTACCAAATGCAGCTTTATTTTTGTGGTAAACCTGTTTCTATCTGGTATAAGTGCCAGGTGTAACCAAGCAACCGTTGCTGTTAAAAGTCTTCTTTTCCTCCTCCTCTTATTTTATTTATGGGGGTTACGTGCTGCATTAAAAAAGTTTCTCAAACTGCATGTCAGTCTGAGCCCATTTTCTGAAAGTTGAAACAGCAATATTTAAAAATGCATTTAAGGCAGTGGAATGAACAGAAAAACGTGATGATAATAATAATCATAATAATAATAATAATAGTGATGTTGGACCAGATGCCAAGTAAATGCAGAGTCACTTGAGATTCAGCATAAAGAGTAGGTGGAAGGAGGATGTGACGTTTTAGGGTTACCCTCTTACTCACCCTGCAGGGTATCTGACATGTGTTGCACACTGGCTGCTGCTACACCACAGCCTGAAGAATGCTGCACACAGGAGCTGTGAAGAGAACAACACTCGAGGCCACGACCTCCTTGACCTTTGGCCTCAGGGTTTTTTAACTCTGCTCATTTCTAGGACTTCTCCTCGTCCTGCTTTCATGAATGCAAACAAGCCGAATAAAAACAAGAGGGAATGTGTTACTTCATCACACCAATCGTGTTCCATTCCTTATCCAGCAGCCCAGGGGCACATTTAAAGACGATGAGACACAGAATGAATGGACAATAAGAAGTGACTTGTGTACTGCAGTGTGTACTTTGTTCTTCCAGAGAAAATACCACATTCAGTTTGTTTAACGTTGTCGCCATAACAGTTCCAACGCATAAGTATACAAAAGTGACAGCTTCAGTTGGGCATTCTGCTGGAGTGTATTTATAGTCATTACTTTAAAAATAAAAAATTCATAACGTAAGGGCAACTTTGCAACTGTTGTTTTAGATGTAATTCGATCACTAATTAACGCACAGAAAACTGTCACATCAGTGGTAAAAGGAGACTAAGGAGGGTATTTATTTATTTAGTTTAAATTTCTTCACATTCACCAATTACTGACTGTTCAAATAGGTCAAACACTTTCTGTTAGATCTCAAGCCGTGGCTCTCAGCCCCCTGTGCTGTCAGAAATAGGCCACTGTTTGGATGGAATAATCAGGTCAAAGCAAGAGGATGAGGAGAGAATGAAGGAGGTGTATGTGGAGGAGGGACCTGGGAGATGATGGGTTTATTTTTTACCTCTCAAACTGTGGAGCCCCAGTTTCTAATTAACTGCAAATTAACTTCTGAAAAAAGCTGAGGGTGGGTGGCACTCTGCCACCACCACAGCTGTAGTCAGGGTTTGTCCTAGCTTCACTTCCACTATTAGACCACTTTCTCTCCAAGGCTCTGGCCTCAGAGCCCCACTGAGCCCCACTGTCAGGGCCGGCGTCTCCTGATAATCTGACCAAATGCCCAAACACTTTTAATATACAGTATTTTACATTAAACTTTGTTTCTCTTCTTGTGCATTCTCAAAAAGATGCTGTGTCTCGTTCCTCTCTCTTTTTCAGCCTTTCTCCTTCTCTCTCACTCTGTCTATTCCTCTCCCTCTCAAAGCTAAAAATATCCCAAGGATTTGTCATGGCCTGTCAAGTTGCTGCATGGTACTATCACTGGAATCTGCACTTCACAGGATTACAGTCAGAACTTTAGACACGCACATATTTTAAAACATAAGCAATAAACGCTCCCTGCTCAAACAACACCAACGGCTGTGTACAAAAGAGCAACATCAGCCAGACAACAGCCAGACAACAGTCTTCAGACTTCAACTTTCTGTTGCAGTGGGATGTGCAACAGTAACACGGTGTCTTGTGGAGGTGTCATCTCCCCGGTTCGAACCTCCTGCTCTTTTTTAAGCCTGTCTTCGTCTCACACTCTCTTTTCCTTCTTTTATGCTTGTGACTGATGACAAGGTCCAGTGTTCATGTCCTTATATAGACCTATGTTCTGTGTGATGTGGCGGAGGCTGGGACCATGTGAGCATCTCTCTCTCTCTCTGTCACAAACACACACACACACACACACATTTTTTATATCACGATCTTTTGCTTCATGATTTGATTTGAACATTGATATTACTTGGAGGATGTTATTACTACACCTACAGAGCCTGAGCCACGTAGCTTAGCTTAGCATAAAGACTTGAAGCAGTGGGGCAACCTGAGGGAGGGTTTCCCAAATAATTGTGAGAGACTGTGGGGTAGTAGAATTGGACAGTCTAGAGCATATGTGTCAAACTCAAGGCCCGGGGGCCAAATGCGGCTCGTCAAGTTGTTTTGTGTGGCCCCCGACCAGTACCACCCGTTACCCATGACCTATTATTTAAAATATTGCCAGATTATCTTTGAATAAAAAAAGTAAATGAATATGAAATGGACTGGATTTTCTTTGAATGAAGTAAATTAGTAAAAACTAACACTAGTAAAAACTATCACACTAACACAGACACACACCTAGTCGCAGAGTTCATCAGACCTAGTTATTGACATTGTGAGATCTCACCTTAAATGGTAGACATCTCCAGAGCCTTGTTTTCACTACACAGACCGAATGACGTCCCGATCTGGGAATATCCTTTTAAAGTGGAGTAGGAGAGAGAGAGAGAAAGATAAAGAGAGAGGATGAAAACTAGGTGTCCTGAATGCCCTGAAGCAAGCAGGGGGCGCTAGGGGACGCTAGGGGACCTCAGGCAATTGGAGGAAAGATGAGGGAAAAGGAGAGTCTACTTATTTTTCCCTTTTTTTCATAACCATTTTTCCTGAGCCGTACAACATGTCAACTGCTTTAATTGTTGGGTTCTCAAGTTTCCAATTGTACCTGAATGCACCTCATGTGACAGCTCTTGCATGATGATATAATAAACTGTTTTGCCTGTTGTCAAGCTACTACGTTCCTCAAACTAATGTGTAGCTAGCTAGTGCAAAATGGACCGGGTCTTGAAAGTGCTGAAAACGTGTTCATTAATAAATTTCTTACGCTAAACAATGCAATAATTATGCATACATCACACAAATATTCTTATGTTTCTTAACAGCTTCCTTTTTTTTTCTCTTTCAGCCTGAACATCTACAAAAAACATGGCTGAGAGAGTTTTACCAGGTAAGTGAATCAGTAACATGATGTTTCGGGTACATCAGCAGTTGTCTTGTAATCATTTAATATGCTTTAATACTCCAGACCTATCCTCGTGGGAATAAAAACAGGTTGGTCCACTTTATGAATGCACTGACAGTATTTTCACTTTCCTTAGCCAACATATTTTTACACATCGACACTTGGGCAGTTACGGTGCTCAAAACTAAAATATTGCCCTAGTTCTTCTGTATAGCCTCCATTGTTGTCACAGGACTGTGCTGCAAAAACCTTTAAGCCATGTCACATGCTTTTCTTCCCTGAAATGTTTCTAGATTAGGCCCAGTGATAGCAACTTATTTTATGCGTGAGTGAATGCTATCAAGGAATTTTTGATAATATTTCATTTTCTAAACTATGATATGTTGAAAGTTGAAAAAAAAAAGTTTGCTTACGTTATTAAAACCTTGGAGTCTAATTGGTGAGTTCAAAAACTCAGATGCTGTCAGGATTTACATGTCATCTCTTTTAGATTGATAAGAATTTACCACGAGACTAACCACAACTGTTTCCACTGGGGTGAAGGAAGTGAAGCAGCAACACTAGAACTGTAGTCTGAAAGTGTTACTGAAAGTGACAGGCAGACAGAAAGTGATAGTTTGACTATATTATACTATAAGAATAGATACATTTCTTATATATAATATATATATTATATATAATTAATTATGAAAAATCGATCTTTTCGGCACCTTTTGTTTATGTCGACTTGGTTATCAGTCTGGTCTACTTTACTGTGATGAGAATCTCATTATAAATGGAAAATATTAAGGGCTGTCAAAGGATTCCAATTTTTAATGTGATTAATCATAGGGTGGCTATTGATTAATCACAAATAGTCATGATTAATTATAATTGTAAACAAGTACAATTATTCATGATGAATCCAGGTAAATCCACATTCCTAAATATGATAAAAATATTCTTTCAAGGTCTAAAGCCAAATTTGTGCTGGTGTTTCCTCATACCATCATGAATCATACGGTCACCTTATCACCAGGAAAAAAAAAATACGAAAGACCATAAAGTAATTGCTATGTTTACCCAGGTCTTGAGGAGATCAAAGGTAGAACCCATAAAACTATTTATTCCGAAGAAAATGCTGAGAAACTTTCTGTCCTTCGCCTGTGTAAAAAAAAGGGTTCTCACTGTTCTCCTAACATGTTCTGGTAACAGCTTTAAAGGAATTCCTCTTGTTAAGGCCTTACAGGAAGGTTCCACTAATGTGTTGGATGTGTGATAAAGAGAGAGCGAGGTCGATAGAGGGAAGACAGGGAGGTGCGTCTCCGTGTGAACCAGGCAGGTCTGTGCCCTGATGCCAGCGCTATGCTGCTGCTGAATGCTGACGTCATGGAAAGAAGCCTCAGACTTTGGCTTGGGCCTGGCTGAGAACAACCAGCAGTGACAGCTGGGCTTAACTTCAATGAGCCGTATAACACAATACCCTCACTGTGGGTTATGTTGTGTTGGTCGGCCGGCAGACAGGTCAGGAACCACGGTTTGTTCTACACTATAAGAACTCAACAGGAAGTAGAAACTAAAAGCACATTCTGTGTTTGGAACAGGTTTCTTAGAAAGAAAAAGAAAACAATTTTTAAACAAATCTTTCCCCCCCATTCCTGTTCCATCCCTGAAGTTGAACTTCTGAAGTCACCTCCTCTCACTGCCAAAAATAAGTAGATAAGAAGTTGAACTGTGGAAATAGTTTTGTCTCATTGTTTTTGTGCCTGACAGAATCACAGCTGTACCCTGCTGCAGCATCCACACAATAAAAGCAGTAAAACTGGCTTTTATTGAGCTGCAATACACAGGAGGTGTTGTGCAAGGTTACCTGTTGGTACCTGCATCTCCGTCTTTTACTGTATCCATTGACTGTCTGTTTTATTTACAAAGGACGAAGAAGAAATAAGAGCTGTACAGATCTTATCTTGTTGGAGTTCTTTCTATGAAATCTCTGGTTTTTCATTTAAAATAATGAAGACGATTTTTTTACACATACTAACACTCAGGGCTCAGTGTTTATTAGTTTTTAACATTTAAACTTTGACATAAGTTTAGTAAGTGTTCATATCCAAAATGCCTATTATTGTTGAAACAAGTAAAACTCCTAAGAAGTGTTATTAAATCTATATGTTTATTTAGCGACAGCTAACACCGCGGCTGTGAACCTTGTTTTTTATGCCACTGAGTCCAACCAAATTCTATTCCGCTCTCATGTTCTTCCACAGGAAATATCTGTCTTTTTCCTATAACCAAAGCGCTGTCATTTGCTTGCTCCACGCCTGCACTAGACTGAGTGAACATGCTAATCTGCCATTGTTGCTGTGTTTGAATAAACAGTGCTTTGCATTGCACCACGTTGTCCTGAATTGGCCCAAGCAAATTTGCATGGGGAACTCTTCAGGATGGTTGAATTCAAGTGTCACCTACAGTGATTTATTATGTGAACTGGGTTTAGTTGAAGCCCTTGGGCATTAAAGATGGGATTCATTACTGTGGTTATATAACACATACCTCATTTATGGCTTCCACAACATACTTTAGATTAAAACGTATCTGGAAAAAACAAGGTTTCCTTTTTAAAAATGCTTTAAGAATGTAAGCTTAAATATCTTCCTGGCGAATCATTGAATTGAACTGGACTTTTCTTGCCTTAGCCGTACTTTCCCATCAGTAAACAGAACAACATTATATTTTATAATTATAGACAAATTTAATAATTTATGTGTGTACATGCACACACACACATACATCGATGTATACCCAACTCTGACTGTATTTGCCCAGAATGTGACCTTTCATATCAGTTATCTTCTATATATACGAGACCACTAGACAGACTAAATATGTGTGAGCTTTAATTTCCACGTGAACAGTACCATATGTTCTCCAACATGCTTGCGCAGCACACAGGAGTTATTTTCAGCCACCACCTGTGATGACACTAAGACTTGATCCTACGTGAAGAGTACCTTCAGGCTGATATGTAAGCTCAACATACTGTAGGACTTACAGTTAAAACACACGGTTATCTGACGTCCCAGTGATGAGTTTGTATAAGCATGTCATTGTAAACCACAAGGTCTGTTCGTTCAAAAAATAAAAAGGAAACAGAAATAGTATTTGTTTACATGTATATATCTACTATACGTGGATCACAGTTTTACCTGTGGCCACATTAACATAAGGACGTGAGATAATGCAATTTGGGTTCACACTGATGGCAATGGTAATTCTTGTAATGGAATTACCTGCTGTCTGTTCGTCGCCAGACTTCTGAATTTACAGCCATGGAAAGACAAATAGAATGCAATTGATTAATGTGAGCACACACACACACACACACACACACACGTACGTTCCACATGTCACATGTTAGCCTGACATTAGTTGCAGGCTCCTCAAGAGCGTGACCTTTCCTCATGCTAGTTGATAGGTCCACTAATCTTTCCAAGTTTGAGTCGCCGTAGGTTCCCTCCGCTGGGTCATCCAGCTAAGTGACAAGGCAATAGGTTGATGGAAAATCCATAGTGTTATTGCTATACATTACTTTTATTTGATTGGGCCCGTAGTGCGCATAATGCAGTGCAGAGACGGGGTAGCGGAGGAGTGGAAGGGCCGGGTTCAATTCCAGGGGGCTGTTGCAGCCCCTCCACCTCCACCTCAGTACAGGGGTGACATTGATACATCGCCTTTGCCTTCAGTCATGGGGGCCTGAGCGCTGTGAGTGCCTGTGAGTGCTGTAAATCACTCACTGGTATTGATTCTACATTAAAGGTTAGCCACTCTAAACACCTCAGACGTGCCGCTCACAAACACTTGCCATGTTGGCGAGGGAACATATAAGGAAAGGGACATGAGGTCATAGAACACTAACAAAGTGGAACCTGACCGAGCCAGGTCTGGGAAGTTTGTACACATTATGTGCAAAGTTTCAAAAACCAGCCCTGATAACATCACTAATGTCACATAACTACAGTATTTGGTTCTATTGGACAGCAAAACAAGTAAAACGGATTCCTTGAAATGTTCTGCAACTTGTATTAAGTTTGTATAACTTTTTTATTTTTTTATTTGTTCCCCAGTTCTTGGTTCCACTTCTTCAGGATTCATCATGTGTTGGTTCTGAAAGCTTCACTAACAGAGTCCTGGAGCAAAGCAGATTTTCTTTGTTGTTGTTGTTTTTGTAAATGATGTGTCAGCAGAGGTGGTGACGTGTGAGCATCTGTCACACCCTGCTGTACATACACACACAGAGCTGCAGGCTCGTCCCTGTCTTCATCAGGAGAGGGGCCGAGGCTCTGCCTGTGGAACAACCTCTTCAGTGTCTCCTGCCTACATTAGCGAGGCACTTTGTCTTGTGTAAATATAGTAGCATGTCACCACGTTGAGTTAGGTGGAAAGACGGGGCCTTTTGCTCTCGGCTGAATAATTCCACTTAGGTTTTGTTTGTTAAGAGCCTGCAGGTCGTCTGGCGTATTACCACAGCTGTTGTCTATGTTCTTTCTTTGGAAACTAAATAAAGTGCACCTCTCACCTCTCGCTCGTTTTCTCTGCTTTTGACGTGTTTATTTTTGTCTCCCCACACAGACAGTTCAATCACATAAACCTCACTTCCTGGCCGTGCACTGCCAAGAGGTCGGTGGGAAGAATTATGAGGAGTCCATGTCACACGTGGATAGTTTTGTAAAGTAAGTATCACACTCGTCCCGTGGTCGCCCAGGAGCAGAGTGATGACAGACTTTCACTGTGGAGGAAACACTTTTGTTGCTGGGCTTTAGAGCAAATGAGAGTAAACTGTTGTTTAACTAAGAAGACTACGCCTCCCGCAGGTTGTGTTTAGGCTCCACGTCCACTCAGCAAATAATGCTTTCATTAAAGAATTGAATGTGTAAGACCTAGGCCTGTTTAGTTGAACAAGATATTGATGAACTCACAGGAAATTAACAAAATTGAAAATCTTTTTCAACAGCTTAAATCAAATGATGATTACCAATAATCTGCACATTTGTTTGTGTTTTCTTACTCTCAGGGAGCTTTTGTCTAGTGATGTCATGAGAGAGTACAACAGAGCTCGCATCTACCTCGATGAAAACTACAAATCCCAGGAGCATTTTACAGTAAGTTCCACCCAATTCACCCAATAACTGATTTGAATTTTGACTCGTAAACAAATCACAAAGGCTGTTAACCAAATAACCAGAAACTGTTGATTTAGGTCCTATAATCCTCAGGGAAAGTGTTATTGATCATTCACTTTCAATTCATTAATCTGATTTGGTCTTTGAAGAAAGCACAATACTTTCTCAGCTGCTGCCAATTTCAGATGTTGCAAATAAGTCTTTATTCATATACATTTTTAAATGTATGTTACGTTACTTATTTTAATTTTTGCAAATGCAACAATGAAACTTTAGACTTTATTTCCTGTTTGATCAATTTTTTCTTTTATTTTAAGTGACACTGTTATACTGGCAGTAAAACACTAGATGGCAGTACATACTGTGAAATGTTTTAGGTGACAGCGTTCTGGCCAAAACATGGAAATATCGTCACATGTAATATTATATATAAAGAATTAGGAGACCATAAATAACTCTCTATTAGTTTTCTAGTTTTAGTTTTTAGTTATGTATATACTTCATATAAAAATATAATTGTTAATAAAGATATCACATGGACAAAAACTACTACAGCTGCTAAAAAAACCCCTCCATCAACTTAAAGACATTTGTGTTGTGTGATTTAATTTTTGTTTTACTTAACATTAATAAACTCAACATAGACAGTTCCTAAATGTCCACTGTCCAAATTGTCCATAATGCAATTACTAAATGTTGCGATTTTTAAATTTTTTTTTGCCAGTTGTATTGGTTTTGACTTATTTGTTTTTTTGGTGCAGAATCCTTTAGCTTAAATCAAACGTGTAACATTTTTGCAGTGGTTTCATTCATTCGCTGCCGCTTCACGTGCATTAATAAGAGTGGTCGCTTGGTGGAGCCAAATACCCAAACCTGCAACTAAAGTCACTGGGCCCTGTAGTGAAGAAGTGTAGAATGAAGTTTGATTACTGATGTGCAGCTTGATTGATAGAGTGTGGAAAAATCACCGCTGTATTTTGATGTGATTGAGTTGAGAAAAAAACAAACAAAAAAAAAAAAAAACGATAAAAAGCCACCATGTTTGTTTTCCTATTTTTTTTTTGGTGTGACCACTGAGTTGTGTCTGCCGTGGTCCTCTCCCATGTTCCTCGGCACCATCACCACGCTACACTGCACCACCACAAACGCTCATAAATCACTGCACCCACTGAGTCACATTTGCTCTTTTCAAAGAAATATTACAAACATTGGCCTTTAGAGGATATGATTATCTGCCATGCTGTATACGCGCTGCTAATCCTCCGGCATTATGAGCTGTTTATTTAATGGTGTTTGTCTATAGATTAACCTTTTCATTGCATCCTCATCTCCCATTAAATACAGATACACAGTTTGTGCTTCTGTGGGTGGAGCAGTCGGTGGAAAGGGAAACATCTGACGTGTTATCTATGATCCTGATATTGAAATCCTGGCCACAGTAAATATGAACAGACTGCAGTCGTTCTCACTCAGGACTTGCCATTTAGCTTTGATGACATCATTCTTATTTGTTTTCTCTGTCTTTCACTCCCCACCCCCCTTCTCTTGAGCTCCAGGGATAATTGTTAGTTGTCTGCGCTGCCTGTCGATTCTCAGATATCGGAAGTGGGATCGCATTTTTATTTATTATTTTCGAACCAGTGTGTTTATTTTTGCACCATCTTTGTGGCGTGTGGTTTCTCGGCCGGGCGACAAGTGGACGTTTTGAATGAGCGAGAGTGTAGTAATGTTGCAAGTGTGTGGCGGAGGCCGCTCAGATTGTCTCCATGCCTGGGCCCCTCTGTAAGAATTGAACCACTGTGTCGCTGAATGAAACAATTATTGATTCATGATAGTGTGACATTTGCTTATAAATATGCACAGACGGTGATTAAAGCTGAGAAATGATTCAGTCAAACACAGGCAGGTGGCTCAGTCACTGACAGGGGGCAGCGTCTTTTTAAACACACCTCCATGAGAGTCTACACCTGAGGTGGTGCTGCGTTGGAGCAGTGGCTTTGCAGAAAATTCCCAACTTCAAACCCTGTTGGGGTCAGAAAGGGCATCCAGCATAAACACTCTGTAAGATCAGTGTGCCCTGTCCACACAGTTTTGTGTTTCCCCATTATGGCTAATATGTTTAGCTCTGTTCTATTCTATAATAGACTATTCTGTATTGTTCTATTCTAGTGTATTCTATTCTGCTCTACTCTAAAACCCTGTACAGTCCAGACAGGCAGCAGCTCCCCGTCTCCTCCCAGAGGGAGGCAGCAGTGACAGGGACCGGCATGACTGACGTGTCCCCTCTATGGCCACAGTCTCGGCCGTGGCCGGGCTTCTGTTTTATGGCTGTGTTAAGGTATACAGCAGGTAAAATGTCAATTAGGAAGCACCGCCCTGATAACTGAAGTCCCAGTCCACTTGTTCTTGGGCATTAATATTGATGGTGGAGCTGCGGCCGGTGTTTCTGCTTCCTGATGCAGAGAAGACTGCACAGCTTTGTGAAGCTCAGTCACCACACCTGCCACAGACACGGCCTAATCAGAAACACACACAGACACACACACGCGGGCTGCTCGGCCCTCAGTTCTCACAGAGCATTTTAATGGGAAATTAAAGGCATCCCTCATGTTGGTGGTCTGCAGGACAGGAGTGAGAGCAGTGACAGAGGATACATCAGACTCTGTGGCTGACAGGACGCTGCCGGCTCCTTTTAGAAACTAGGTGTGAGCCCCGCATTCACCTGTCTGTAGTGTAGGGTTGTATTCGTTTATTGACATCACTGCAGTATTTTTTTGGAAAAGCTGTGAGTCATTTGGCCAATAGCACGTAGAGAATATTGATCAGAGCTTAATCACACAAAATATTGAAGTAGTGTGTTTTTAATTCACAAACCTCAGATGTGATGTCACATGACTTAATGGACCAGAACATTTTTATACCTTTGGTTCTATTTTACCAGTAGGTTTTTGCTTTTTGCTTTTTGTTGACATGCTCAAAAGACCAGGTTTTTGCTTTTTGTTGACATGCTCAAAACATGGCTGAATATTTTTAGCATTTTAACATGGTTGAATTAAAGTGATTATACAGTAGTTGTCAATTAGACGCCTAGTAGAATATTAAAATACAAAAGTCTCTTAACAGGTTGATCAGAGTAAAGTTACATTGTTGGTAATTGAAGTAATGTTAAATGAAGACTTAAATGTCCCTCTTGCTAGTATCCAGTTTGGTAATTTATTCATATTTGATGTATTTGTGAGCATCATGAAATCTGCACAAATGCATTAAATAAAGACAAACTATAAAGTGATTGCAAGGATTAAAAGCCTATTTTTTAAAAAAATTACAAATCCACTTTATATGTATATAATTATGTCATTAAAAAATGAAAACAATATTTTTTATTATTACACCCAAACTGTTTTAATTTCTTCCAAACCTCTGCTAATCTCTAATTCTTTTAACTTAAAGGCCCTTAAAAAATAAAAAACGTTGTTTAAATTTCTGTTGTCTTCTGGTCTGCATTCTGGTCTGTGGTCAGTGGTCAGCGTCAGTTGCTGCCTGCCGCACGGCCTCACACTGCTCCACAGACTAATGAAATCATCAGCACTGCTCTGCTTGGCGGGGAATTTATGAACACTCAGTTTGTGTCTGTGTGTGGACAGGGCCACAGTGTGAGTGAGTGAGTGGGAGTTGTTGTGCAGCCCAGAAATGGGTGTCACCCACATTTATTGCCATTTTTTTTGGCTCTATTTTTTAACGACTAACCGTATCACCACCGTATGTTTCAGCTCCATATTTTATGATGAAACAAATCCAGGTTACATATAAATATTATAGGCTTTTCAGAGAAAGTGGGGTCATAGAGGAAGGGTCTCTGTGTACAGAGTGTTGGTTCTACATGCTGAGGTTAAGTGGCAGGAATAGCCGTGTTCCTCCTCCACCTCACCCTTGTCCTCCCCCTCCCTTTGCCTGCTCTGTTTTAAAAAGACCGCAGTGGGCATATAAAGCAGGTTAAAATATTGCAAACTAAATCTAAGAGAGCTCTTATTTCAATATGGCGAGAAGTACGGCACCCGCTGAGGCCACTTGAATGGAGTAGATGTCAACCCGGTAATATCGCTGGGCCATAACTCTCTTTGGCCATCACTCATTTTCACAGGGCGGACATGAGAACGTACACACGGGGCAACAAACCCAAACAGACACCAGTGCGAGTCTACACAAGGAACACTCACACTGTGAACATGTGTTGAGTGACAATCAATGAAACTGCCCTCACACTTGAGTGATGCTGTAAAGAGAGTGGACCTTCTCTGGGTGCAAAAATATTTGGACTGAAAATGGGCTTGTAATTAATGGGTTGTGCAAAGGGTTGGAGAAATTGATGCATGGAGGGGTCACGTCCCTGGATCTGAACTCTTTTACCGTCATCACAGCACCGAGCTTTAATCACATCTGATACACACACGACTCCTGTCGTATCAAAACATTATTTTAACCCATTTATTGTCATAAAAAAACATGAAAGTGAGGGCAAAGGCTTGCATCTATTTGTGTAGAAATGTGACTTTTTAAAATTCCCTGAGATTGTTGAGAATTTAGTCAATAGATGGCAGTAATGTACATAAAGGATTTATATAAATATTGTTAAAGTAAAGAGGATTTGTTTTGTTTTAGGAAATACCTAATGTTACTGAAAAAAAAAAACAATTTAAAAGTGGCCCGTGTTCAAGATAATTTAAAAATCTTTACAACATTATCGGAGGTGTACAGCTCCACCGTCCAGTTATGGACCCCTACCAGCTCAGTGTCACTTTGGCCAGTTTTGCTGATTGACCGCTGGCTCAGAAGTATCTGGCTCCAGCTGCTTTCCTTCCATCCAGCTGGCAGTTGCTAGTCTTCAAACTAAAATGTATGACTTGTTCTTTTAGTAACACCTTGTTCTCGTGGTAAAGGATCACGTCATAAATTAAGGTTTGAATAAGTTAAAGGAATCC